ACTAACTAGCTACTACTACTACTACTACTACTACTACTACTATTACCTGCTACTACTACTACTACTGCTACTACTACTACTACTACTACTACTACTGCTTATACTACTACTACTACTACTACTACTACTACTACTACTACTACTATTACTACTACTACTACTACTACTACTACTACTACTACTACTAACTAGCTACTACTACTACTAATAATAATAATTACCTACTACTACTACTACTACTACTACTACTACTGCTACCACTACTACTGCTACTGCTACTGCTACTGCTACTGCTACTGCTTATACTACTACTACCACTACCACTACTACTACTACTACTACTACTACTACTACCACTACTACTACTACTACTACTACTACTACTACTACTACTATAATAATAATAATTACTACTGCTGCTTCACGCAGTTGATATTATTGGCGGCATTGCAACCAGGGCTTGGTTCTGAGGCCGGGAATGAGACATCTTAAGATCCTCAACAAAGCAGCGCCGATAAGTCCTCGTTCTCCGCAACATCTTCATCCCTGATTATGGGGATAGTGCCTCTATTGCAAGAACCCAATGATAAGTCTGTCGCAGGCACCCACCCAAGAACAAGTTTTGACTACAACTGTTCAGGATTCCAATCGCACAGCCATTGAAATTCTCGGCATGCTGGAAGCGACAGTTGGACAGGGGACGTTCTCAACAGCGAGCAAACCCTCCGGAAAGCCAGGCAGGCCCGTCGAAGAAAATCGGCAGGTAGTGGTGGTAGTCTAGTTTCTCAATGTCCACTTTCCACGCCTTCAGTGCTGGAGAGGGACAGTAGCTGTTGGCGCCAAAAGATTACGCTTAACGCTCATTGAGCGGGAGTGGAGAAAGAACTTGAAAGAACTGCCCTGTGTCCAAACTCAAGACTAAAGCCAACCTCCAATCGCTAAATCCTTAGTTCGAACTGCTCAAGCCAAACACATGTGAGAGTGAGAGTGAGCGTGAGAGTGAGTGAGGGTGAGCGCGAGTGACAGTAAGAGTGCGAGTGTGAGTGCGAGTGAGCGTGAGAGTGAGAGTGAGAGCGAGAGACGGAACGAGCGAGCACGGGTGGGTGGGCGGGAGGGTGGGTGAGCAGGTGAATGAGAAAGTTGGACTAGTGCGAAGTGACTAGTGAAGCGAGTACTGAGTAGTGAGGAACGACCCTTAACCCCGACTTCTACAGAGGCTTCCCACAAGCATGACTACTGACTACTGGGCGTATTACACAAATCCTCGAATATGCTCGGCGACAAGGCGACTGAAGAGCATAGGAGCAAATGCCAAATGGGCCGAATGAGGCCCAGACAATCTTGTTTTGCGTGCCAGTGTGCTGAACCTGGAGGAGGGGTCTCACGGGGTCTTGATGCCTGGACGTTGGAGGGTCTCCTGCCGTCGTCTGTTCACATGCCCTCGCAAGTACGAGTCTGCCAAGTCTGCCTGCGGCAATCACGAAGATAAGCAACACCACCCAAATGCTGCAGCCTGAATCGGCAGGTCTCCACGGTCGTAGAAGCGGCGGAACTCGGAGGGCTTGATGGCACGGCGCCTCTTCTGAGAGATGCACTAACATAACGGAGCATGGAAGCCGAACGCGAGGTCAACGTAGTCAAAATTGGGAGATGAGGTTCGGGGTTCTAGTTTGGGCTTGGAGGAAAGGTTCTATCACTGAACGCTTCCTAATTCAGACCTTATCAGGCAAAACAGAGCATCGAGAAGTGCAGAGCAAGCCCTCAAGGGATGATAGACTCGGTTGGACCTAGGACAGACAGCAAAAGAAGCAAGGGCCTGACGGAGTGCGTGAAGGCTTGATCAGACTTAGGCGCTCAAGGATTCGAGTTAGGGGTTAAGGGTTAGGGTGCACTATGAAGGAACGGACGTTGCGGCTCCTTCAACTTGCTTCAGTTAAGCGTTTTCAATGCAAGCAACTTGAGCAAAGCATGACAGACTGCCATGCCCTAAGCACACAACAAAACATGCAAAACCCATCTACGAGGAAGCATCCACGTTCGAAATCCTGATGCCGATACCCACAGCCATCGAGCCCTGCGTGAGCATTTGGAGCCTGAAGGCACCGGCCTTCGGTGGAGACACTGGCTGCGGCGCGGCCTGTGCTCTGGAAGTCTGCCGCCCCGGCGTTTCTGGTCTAGGGTGCCTGCAGGTTGTGCCCCTTCACCCAGCAGAGCCTGTTCATTTAAGCAGCAGCAAGCAAGCCCAGATCCGGTCAAGCCAGAACCTTGAGAGCGCTTCAGGTCTCCACCCCAAACCCCAGGACCAGAATCGCTCAGAAATGAAATCCACATGTCCCTTAAACCCTCTAAACTCACGAACGCACCTTCGACCGTGGCAGGAACAAGTCCCGAAGCCTTAAACCCTGAGCCACCCCGAGGGCCTTTCGAGGTGTCCCCGGAATGACCTCGTGCTCGCCTCGCGCGGCCTCAGAGCTGAACGGTCCAGGCTTAGGAAATGGATTCCAGTCTGAAAGACAGAACGCCTAAATCAAAGCCATACTGCAAGTGGCAAGCACCTCCAAGTCCTACACCCCGACACCATGTAGGGCTCCCTGGAATCCTCGAAACCGAAACACGAGGAGCCTCAAAACACCCAGGGCTTCGGACGTGCCCCGGACTTCGCGGGCTGAGCGTGTCGGCTCGCTTCTCCACCTGGGTAAAGACTGGGCCTTCCGAGGTTTTTGGGGGCCGTGGCCGCCTGGAAGACCGCTTTTTGAGACAGAAGAGAAGAGAGGTCTCGATTTTGGAAGGATCATTAGCAACAACCCTCATGTGGCTTTGAAGGTCGATTCTGGGGCCGAGGTTCGCGCTTGTCGGACATGATGTTATAGAGTCGGTGGGTTTCCGGCTTGGGGTTCCGGGTTGTTAAAACCACGGGGTGTCGGCTCTCCTGATATTCCAGAAGAAAGTCGTGGGTCCTGGGACTCTAGGCCCCATAAAGCACTCCCTCAAGGAAATCAGCCCAAGATGTAGGATGATCCGAGGCACCTCTTCACGCAGGGCCTGGAGGGTAACTGCCATCTTGTTGGGACCTGGAGTGGGAAAGACGGGAGTCTCGGCCTTGCGGCTCAAGCCTCGGAGCTGAAGGCTCGCTTCATGGGAGTTTCCGAAAATAGGGGGCCCTAATATAGTACCCCAAATAGTAGGATCCTTATTATAAGGACCCCAAGATAAGGTACCCCTTATTTTCGGAAACCCCCTCATGACCTGGGATCAGCCCTTCGGGCAGGGAGCAGCCTTTCGAGACCACCGGCGGACGTCCACGAGTTGAGATTAGCAAAACCTTCCCGGTATACGCGGCGAAGTTTTAAGTTTTTGCGAAGAACTCGAACATATTCATTGAGGTTCTCCCTCCTGCATCACAGAGAAGATTGTGTTACATGAAGCACCGAACCTCGAAAGTGAGGGTCATGTTGCATGCTATGTCATGGTTTGTTCGTACCTTTGTCATGCTGCATTGTAGCATACTAGAATGCACAGTGCGCTGTAGCATGCAGCATGCTGTGCGATGCAGTATGTGTCTGCAAGCATATGTAGCATGCCTTACACACTTTTGTTCTCACTTATGTACTATGCATTGTATAGGACTTTTAAATACTGCATACTGCAACATGACGAAATTATCGGTATAAAAATTCAAACACATCTACATGCTAGTGCCCACACACGGTTTCTGTCCAGCATCGTTCCTTGTTCTTCGTGTTCGGATTTTGGAGTTCAGATGTCGTTGTTTCGAACTTCACGGGAGGGAGCTGATTCCGGAGTTCAGCTGGCGGCTGTTCGGAATCCTGGGGAGGGTCCGGATTTCGGAATTCAGGGATGAGCGGTCCCTGGCTGAAAGACTTGCATGAACATATTCAGTTCCCCATGTTGGCTTCTCGGATTTTTAGCTAGATGTTGGAGCCCCACCGCACAAACTCCCGGATCTCTGTCCACATCATCGTCATAATCATCACCATAGTCATCATCATCATCATCATCATCAGCAAGAAAGAAAGGAACCCACTCTGGTAAACTTTAAACCCTAAAACCTTCAGCCAGTAAGCTCCAAAAAAAAAGACCCTGAAACCCGAGAGCCCTAAACCCTCGAACCGTAACTCTTGGCCCTAACCCTCAAACCCGCAAAGATTTCTAGCAAAAAATCGAACTAAGAAGTTACCCGTTGCACTTTACAGATCTTGTCTTCTACACAACAACATTGCAGGCGTCTGGAACCCAAAACACGTACATTCACATGTGTAGCGACGATCGCCACAAAACGGACCACTGATTTTAAGGCGTTCAAAACTGCGCCAGAAAACCCGATCAAAACACCGGGCAATGACAAGTACGGCGGGATATACATGAATGTGTGCATGCATGTGTGTGTGTGTGTACGTACGTACG